TGGAATGACGATGAAGCTTGGAAAAAACTGATAACATTTCCTTGTTTTAGACGGATAACCACAGAGAGCCAGGCCCAACTGGCCGATCTTGTAAGCCACCTGGGCAAATTTGCAAAAGCTCCTTCTGGGGGATCACAAGCCAGTAGACCTAAAATGGACTCAGCATACCGCAGCAGGAGTCAACCGTTTGATCTTGAGTTCAAGAAGAACTTGACAGGAAGGGGAGGTGGAAAACGGGCGCGAAGTCAAACCATCCAGCTCCTAGATGCAATGGTCCAAATCGGCACCGAATGCAAGTCGGCCGAGACGCAGTGTCGAGACGTCACATCCGTGACAGATCCCTCGCCGCGCGAGCCCAAAAACATGGCTGTCCAACTGAAAGCGCATAGACCACCGGTCCAACGGTGTGTCATAACTCAGATCGGACCTAACAGTAAGGAGTCATGCACACAAGTCGACATTTCGGATTCTTCATACTCGGAAGAGTGCTATGTGGCTGAAGACATGAAGGGGATTGTAAAACGTAGCTCACGCGAAGTGATATCTGATAGACGGAGGAAAGCGGTGTCAGCATCAGCACTTCCGAGACGACCGCCGGTGGTGCAGGTCAACACCTGTACTCAGCTTGGCTGCATGACTCACGAGAGATCAGTAAGTCCAATTCATGCCCTACTGCAATTTTGCCCTAACTGTCAGACAAGTGAATTTTTGGAGGTGCAGAAGGAGTATGGGCAGATCTGTAGTGCCTCTCAGCGCTGTCAACCAATCGCGTATGGTTCTCTTCAATCAGAAACGCATGGGAATTGCATTTGTAAGCGTGTACAGTGCGGATTCCCATGCCTGAATGGTAGAAGTAATCTCTGTTGTCAGGTGGACGTTCTTGGACCACTGGTCAATGATGCAAATGTTCAGTCACAGGCTCTACGGTGCTACGCAGATATTGGAACCACTGAAGAGGTCTTCGAGGTTGATCAAGAAGCGTTCCGTGAGACAAGATTTGTACCAAGTAGATGTCACTTGGTATGCAAACGAGTGCAGACTGGAATGTCCAAAATGTGTAATTTGGCAAACTCATTCTCACAAACTATAAGGACTTACGCCCGTCCGATTCGTGACCACATGGCATCGGCCACCCAAATCGGTATAATGACGAAAGAGCGTGAATGTAGCCCGATTCCATTTGAAAATGTTGCTAGACCAGTTCCCTCGCGACGTCGATACATTCAGGCACAGGTTCAGCAGCCCCAAGTTTATGACAGAGAACCTATGGTGATGGTGGAGGCTTCAAAGATAATGGATTGGGATTTAACAGGTGCACCATTGCAGACATCACATCACGAAAACCTTTATATCGAGCCCATTAGGAAGAACCTGCCGAAACTGGACTGCAGTAGTTTTTTTGGCGATCCTCTTACACCACCATACACCAATGTTATGCATTGCAGTCCCGACCTAGATCGCATAGCGAGAAAAGCAGTCTTCTCCGTCAATTCACACATAGGGGTACATCCAAGAAACGGTCGCTTTGAAACCCGTCAGCGGCGACGCAAAACGATGCTGCGCACAGCGTCTACTCCAGAGACAGTGTCTCCCATTGAGGTGCGAGCTTCTCCCGGTTTGTATCATATAGCCTCAAGTCCAAATGCCGTCACTCAGCCAGTAGATAGATGTGTTGCTCGTCTCCAGACAAGAAGTCTTCCAAATCTGCTAGAAGGTGAAAGTCAAATTGAGACCCAATCTACATATGTGCCTCCTATAAGGGTGAAATCAACATGCAGTACGTGCAAGGATGCAGCATATAGATCACGCTACGCCACGTTGCAGGCCGTTTCGGGCCCTGCAGCGCCAAGAAGGACTGTTCGCCTTCAATCCAACACTCTTCCGAACGGCATAGACAGGGAAGTTCAAATAGGGCATGCAGTGGATTTGGGTGAAACGCAAACGTCAGAATTGGTTTTCTCTAAAAGATTGCCAAATGAAAAAGTTATTGGAAGCTGCTGTGCGAACGCTCAGTACGTACGACGGACTCACAGTCAGCCCAATGTTGTTGATAGTTATTTGCGAACAAGTCGTCGGTCCGTTGGTAGATCTTTTGTAGAAACATACACCTCCGAGATCCCAGTTCGCCAGTATTCAGTGCAAACATGCAAAAGAGTTCCTGATGTGGCGATTGCTGAGGTTTCACAACACACAGCACATATGCCTGACGTTGGAATTGCTGAGGTCCAAATCCACCCAGTTATCCATTGGGACAATAAAAAAGTACAAGTTCATGTTGATGTTAGTAACCCTGTGCGTCGAGTTTGCGTGGAAACGCCTTCTATAGTTCGGTATGATGTGAGCTGTGATGCCATGATCAAGCCTGCGCGGGCATCCAAGAAAGCACAGGTAGAATTGTTCGAAGAGCCAATTATTCCTGAACGGTTAAAGGAGCCAAACGTTTATGCAGAGGCTCCAGTGCCTAAAATCACCTCAAATGTAGCCATTCAGATGAGCGAATCCATGGAAGCTGTAACAACACAATCGGCCCCTCAAATGCATGAGAAGAAATTGCAATGTGACCCTCCACTTCCATGTGCTGTTGTCAGCTGTCAACAAAGTCCGCAAACAAGTAACAAGAAATTACAGGTTAGCGTGCAAATACCGACTGGTATGCGACTTGGTGGTGCTGAGGTTTCACCCGTGTCGAAAACTACGTACGGAAAGAAACTTCAAGTGGATTTGTCAGCAGCACTATCAACCAGGCAAATACAAACAATTTCAGAACCAGAGCCAGAACCCATTTTAATGGCGCCTCCGACCCTTCAGTACTCGGCGCCACCAACTGCGTTTGAAGATTTCAGCTGTGATGCACCTGAACCAATTGAAGTCCTTAGTAAGTCAACCCAATCGGATACAATCCATGTACCCCAAACACTGGGAAAGAGGCTCCAGGTTAGCATGAACGAGCCTCTTGAAAGCTCTGTGTGTCAATCGTTGATGCTTGGTGTCGATTCATTTACCCAGTTTGAGCCTGAGCCTTTGGCAGTAGGCGTTTCGCAGTCAGTAAGGGAAGAACCTGAACCAATAATCCTCAAACCACCCACACCCACTCCATTTGTCATGGCAGCTCCACCACCATCCGGTATAGATGACGGCTGCGACCCAATCCACGTAGCGACCATAGAGTCCTCCTCCCAAGCCGAGAAGATGGAGACATGGGGAAAGAAATTGCAGGTTAATCCTAAGCCGTATTCGACCTCTATTTTGAATACACGATATGACTTACCCACAATGCATTCCGTTTCAACGCAAGTTGAATCTATACAAACGGTAGGAAAAGATGTGCAAATAAAACCGGATCCATTAGCACTGTGTAAGGCGCAATCCATATGGATAGAGCAGCCACCGATTACGCTTCAACGGGACCTCACTCCGGTTTATTCTGCACCACCAAAGGAAACCAAGGATTTCTCCTGCGATGCACCTCTGCCACCACAAACACTGGGGAAGAAACTGCAGGTTTCTCCGATACCACTAATCTGCACCGTTTCCCAGACTGCCTATATCGAGCCGAAACCAGCGCCTCTTGAAAGTTCAGTCACACAATGTAGGGAGGTGAAGAACATGAGCGAAGGACTTCAGGTATCTCCTCAACCGCTGGAAATAGGATGTT